GATCATTGCTCCATAATTGAATATATGTAAATACGTATTTTGTATATACAAAACATGAAAGTTCTCCTGGAGTTGGGAAAGGCTTTATTTATTTTTTGCAGAAAAGAGTGAACTGTCACAAGAGCAGTAAGCAGAATTTTGTCTGCAGAACCACTATAAACGCTACAGAAGCTATACGAACGTTTAGTCAATAAAAAAATAAAATAGGACATGAAATTAACATTTGGTACCTCTTAAGTAATATTTCAAAAAGATCGAGTGCTTCGTCTTTTGAAGTTTTTTCAAAAAGAACTGATGGGGAATTGAAGCCAAGTATTTTTACTCAAAATTTCGAAGTATACCTCGAAATTGTTTTTCAATTCTCATTCATATAATATATAGTTCTTTGTGTAGTGTTTCTATGAAATATACCGGTTTCAATTGAAAAGTTGATTTTTGGAAAAGAAAGGTTTTGGCTTTCTACTTCTCCATCGTGATACAAAAATTGTGGGAATCTTCTAAAGGTAGGAAGAAATCAATTAAAAAAAATCTATAAAAATATGTGTATATTATGTGAAGAAGTAACTTTCAGACAAAAACTGGAAGAAAAAGCTCTCTCGAAATAGCCACTTTCATATAAACATTGAATTACACGAAAGAAAAATACTTTTGAAACAAATACTTTTACATGAACACTGATTTATACAAAAGCACTTTTCTCTATTAAGTTCATATTCCATACATTCGTTATAGAATTGAATCAGATTCACAGGATTCCTAGACAATATAGTAAATGACAGAGGTAACATTTCACCTACATGGAACATTGCGATCCTCACTGGTAGACATCCGATGTTTCGCCGAAAGAAATTCGCCTTAACAGCTCTTTAGTATCAGAACTGTTCGACGTTGGTTTGTGAAAATTCATTCCAGATATTTTAGCCTCGAAGATAAGACCCGAAGAGGTAGTTCAGGACGAGGATTGGAGGACCCTGGTGAAGATTGACTCATCACAAACAGTGCGTTGGATGGCGGAAGAACTGTTGGTCAGCTCACATGTGGTTTTTGTTGATGCCCACCATTTGAACGATCGACACATTTTGAGGTCTTTTCTGTTTTGCTTTTGCGCAATCAAAACGATCCTTTCTTGAATCGGACCGTCACGTGTGATGAAGAGTGGATTCTTTGCGACAACAGGAGACATTGAGGACCAAAGGCAATTTCAAAACCAAAACTAACAAACGTATCAGAAACAAAGCAAAAAACGTATTAACTATCAATATATTTCAGTGGAGGAAAACCTAATTTATAATAATTTAACGAAACTATCATTCATTTGAAAGAAAAATCAAATGAGTTTTCGAAAGGAAATTAAAATTATTGAAGTAAGTGTTGGAAATGTCCACCACTTCGTAAAATGTACTTTGCGATTCTGGAACTCAAACATGTTGTACATTTGCTAATTTCGTCTCCTTGAATAGCTCCCATGCATTCCCAATATTCTCGTGAAGAGTTTCTGTTGTCGGATTCATAGTATTATGAATTTTTTTTGAGATATCCCCACAAATAAAAATCCAGCGGATTCAAATCCGGAGATTTGGCAGGCCATGCCACTGGACATCTTGTTCCAATCCATGAATTAGAAGATAAAGTCGATTTAAATAATATGTGACCATTCTTGAGTTTTGTGGACCACATCCGCCTTATTGGAATCAAGGACTATTACGCCAATGTCGTATAGAAAGGTCATCCAACATTTCTTCTATGATTTCTACATATTTTGCTCGGATTAGGTTGCCGTCAATAAAATAGGGTCCTAGTAATTGATTATTTATTAAACCGCACCATAGTTCAAAGAGAAACGACATTGATTTATAAGTTCATGAATTGAGTTGGGAGTTTCTGTGTCATAAAAATGTTTGTTCCTTCACTTGAACATGTCAGAATTTGTGAATGTCGTTTCTTCTCCCCAAATAATAATTCCATAAAATTATTCCACAAAATTATTCCTCAACTTCCGTTGAAACTAATTGAATAATTATAACCTTCTTTCAGGATCATTACGATATAGTCTCTGCATGGCTTGGTATCTGTAGCCATGGTATCCGTGACTCTTGACTATTTTATATAGTCCTCGATCCTATTTCTGGATTCATTGAATTTGAGCCAGAACATTGATGTCATCGATGGGCTCGTTTCATCTTAAAAGAACTTGGGTTTAATGAATGAATTATGTGCAAGTAACGTTGTAGATAAACGTGGAAACATTTTATTATTTGGTTTCTTTCTTTCGGGATATAATTAATTCATCATACCATTGTTGTGCTTTGAACGAATGCCTATCTAGTTTTATGTACATATCTCTCTTTCCTTCATTTGTGTATCTCATTACCATATCGAATAAGTTAAACTAAAATTACACAGAAAATTATCTAACGACAAGAAGTTTTTTTTAACACAATAACACATTTTTGTTATATTCTTTTTTATTCACGGCCTACTACTTGAAAATAATACAATCAATAAACCTAAAGTTGTGCGTATGTACGAAAAAACAAATCTATCAACGATATTAATGTTCTGACCCAAATTCAGTTGAATCCAGAAAAAAGATCGAGAACAGTGGCCAGTGATAGCAATTTATCACAAACTGCTGTTGATGAAATAGTAATTATATAATTTGTTTCAACGGAACAAATGACAAATCCGACAATAGTAATTCCTCGCAAGAATATTGATAATGCATTCGAGTAGACGAAATAAGCAAATGTATAAGTTTGAGTTCCATAACCGCTAAGTGCATTTTATAAAATGGTGGGCATTTCGAACATTTAATTCATTAATCATTCACTTTCGAACAATCATTCAATTTTTTTTCAAATAAATGGAAGTTTCGTTAAATTATTATGAATTCGGTTTTTCTCCACTTGAAATATGTAAATAATTATTACTTGTTTCTTGTTTTGATTCTGATACATTCCATTCAGTTTGAGATGAGCGAGTTTATTTTCTTATCATGTTGTTAATTTCATCAAAGGTAAATTTAATACAGATCCGTACCAAAGTAATTTGGATGAGGGTCAAAATCATCTGCAACTTTCAATGACATTGTTTGATATATCGTTGAATTTAGCGTCAAAAGTTATTTCCAAGAGTGTCATGAAATATGCAGGTCCGTATTGAAAAATATGAAGTTGATGGTTCCCCAGAGATTACGAAACGTTGGATTCGAAATCTAAAATTAAGGAGAATTTACTATCGAATGAGAAATGCCCATAACATTTTTTTTGAAGTTTTGAAATGACATGGCATAAAAAGAAAAACCAAAATGACAAAATTTACTGTCCTTATGATATATAAATAACCGGTCCTGATATTCTCGATTTGTTTGAATCACTTGACAGTGCTTCTATGAATGCAACTTTCTCTCCATTTGACCGACCTTCTAACTTTTATGGTTTGAAAGCTACCAATACAATCCCATTAAAAAGTGGCCACTCTGTATAACCACGTTTTTGGATTTGAAATATATAAGTTAGTTTTTATACCTAATAAATAAAGCCGAAACCGGTCGTAAAAATAAAATAACTAGTGGAAATTAGACAAAAGTGTTTTATTCATTTCATTAAAACAAAGATCTTTATTTTATATTCCATTTGCCACTATACTTAGTTTGAAAATATTTAACAATCTACCCATATCGTCATCTCTTTTCAATTTTACACGCTTTATATTAGCTTCACCTGTATGTATGTATGTATGTATGCTTGTTTGTGTGCATGTTTGTTTGTAACTCTCAAGCTCAGGATCTGTATTGATAGAATTATCGGCATTATTGCTCGATCTATTCGCGGGCAGATGGCGCTGTAAGTAACCTACTTGATATTTTTTTATCTATTCGCGGCAGATGGCGCTATACGTAACCTCCTTGGTAGGTTGTTTAACAAAAAAAAAATCAAAACAATAAATACAGTTTAAAATACTAAAAAACAAGCTTTTATAGCATATTGAACCTAAAATTAAAAAATAAATATAGTTAAAAAAACCTGAAAAACACGCTTTTAAAGAACATCGAACTAAAAAGTTAAAAATAAGTATAGTTCAAAAAAACTAAAAAACACGCTTTTGAAGAACATCGAACTAAAAAGTTAATTTTTTTTTTAAATAAGCTTAAAATAATAACGATCGAAAAATGCTAGTATTATTGTGACAAAAGCGTGGGCGCTTTGTG